GGCTACCATCAAAGAATTTGGATGTAAAACAGCTCGGGAAACAGTCTTCCAATGTGATAAATACGGAAAAATAAGTATAGAACAATATTTCAAAAAGCGTATGTTTGAATCTCCTCCTAATCTTTAACCGGGCTGATTTTTTTTAGAATACAACATAAACTTAAAGCATGCACACGACTTGCCTGTTATTAATATTGGTAGCAAGACAAAAGATGTACTTATTCCAGCGGAGCTTTGTGAAATTGAACCTGGTCAGCCATATAGGGGAGCACTCTCAGATAAAGAAACGGCTGAGATGATTAAATTTGCTTGTAACCCCCCTAATTATAACGCGGAGACTATTGTTGGTCAAGGTCTTCAAATGCTTGGCCTAGCTAACCGTGCACAACCAATTGCAGGCTTTGGTGTCGATATCTCCCAGAATATGGCTGTCGTCGCGGCCCGAGTATTGAATGCACCACGGGTTTCGTATTCTGTAGGCCAGGCGAAGATTACTAATGGATCCTGGAATCTGATGAATATTAAATTCTCGAAGTCCGTTCAGAATATACGCCCTGCAATCCTTGTTCTCGGTGATAATGGACCGAGAGACTTTCGTAATGGAAACGAGGTGCAGGAGACATACGAAGGGTTCCGTAGTCTTTGTAACCAATGTGGTATGAATCTCGGGACACCAGTTGGAGGGCCATTACTCGTACGCCTCCCTAGGCCAAACTTGAGAAGTGATCCCTATCGATTAGCTGCTATCGGAGAAATTGAAAAGGCAATCAAAAGCTTGCCTGGACGCCCTGACTTGATCTTGGTATTCCTCTCAAGTACCGACAGAAGTATATACTACGGATTAAAGAAACTGTGTGATGTCAAGTTGGGAGTTGCTACCGTCTGTATGCAGATGTCGAAGGTCCGCAATTACCGTGGTCAATTACAATACTTCGCGAATGTCGCAATGAAAGTGAATGCAAAGCTTGGAGGAGTAAATCATATTATCCCAGCTGATAGTCACCGATGGCTAAAGGATGCAATGCTTGTCGGGATGGATGTCACCCATCCAGGTAACGGCCCTTCCATAGCTGCAGTCGTTGCATCATACGATGGAAGCTTCAATCAGTACCCCGCTAGTCTACGCCTTCAGGAGCGTCGTAAAGAAGTAAGCAATTTCAATATATCTCCTCGTCCTTGCTAGAGACTTATTAAAAGAAACATAAGATGATTACAAATGTTAAGGATATGATGAAAGAGCGCTTGACAGAATATCAGAATCGTAACAAGAAGCTTCCAGAACGGATCATCATCTTCCGTGGCGGTGTCTCAGAAAGTCAATTCGATATTGTCCTAAAGGATGAGGCTCGGGAGATCAAGGCTGCCTTCCGTGCCTTCAAGTCATACAATCCCAAACTGACTATTGTTATCTACGGAAAGCGTCACCATACGCGCTTCTTCCCAACCAGCGAGGCCGATGCAGATAGGACGTCTAATACAAAGGCTGGTACTGTCGTTGATAAGGGAGTAACATCTGTATATGACTTCGATTTCTACCTACAAGCGCACGCTGGACTGCAGGGTACAGTACGGGCGACTCACTACTCGGTAATTTATGACGAAAATAAATTGAGTGCAGACGAGATCCAACAAGGAGTGAATGATATCAGTTATCTATGGGCTCGTGCAACGAAGAGTGTGAGTTATGCACCTCCTGCCTATTGGGCTGACCGGGCGTGTGAGAGAGGTAGAGCATGGCTCCATGGAGCCTATCCACCTCCAGGAAAAATGACAGAGGAACAGATTGATAGTCACCTGAGGAATGTCTGGGGAAATGGAATCAATGAGAATCTGAAAAGCACGATGTTCTATCTCTAAATGATCGAATTTAAAATAATGATTTGAAATTAAATAGTTGAATCTTTCTATATATTGGGAACCCCTAAAGCTTTAAATACTTGCTCTTAAAGAGTAATGTGATAGTTTTAAAGATATAAAAATAGACAATTAGCAGAAAACCAAATTATTTCTTTATTAGAATAAAAGTAGGGATCCTCAAAGATTATATGAAAGAAGTAAATAGATTCTTTTCATTTATTTATTAAGATATAGTCTAATCAATCATAAAAGTGATTGTAATATATTTAAAATAGGGTTACTAATATTAATTATATTTTTATACTGTAATTACTTTATTTTTACAATAAAATAACCTAATCTGAGTCTTAAATATTAATAGGAATTCTAGTTTTATAGCTAGTAAAACTTTAACATCTTTTATTTTTTTATCTAAAGAATTTTACTATTAAATTGGCTAAAAAAAAGTTAATTATTTAAATAATATAAATAACAATAAATTTATTATAAACCTAGGCATATATATAAGACCCCTATTCTTTTCTCTATATGACTTATTTTATTTATCTTTTTTTTTTATATTTACTTGGACTTCTACACATATTTACCTCTATTTCACAAATATATGCTTATTGATATATAAAGTAGTATTATATTATTATGACTCTATATGACTTATTTATAATAATTATATGATAGTTATATTATTGTATAGTAGTAGAGTATTTATACAGAGCTTACAACTAACTTAGCCTTTTAGTTTAACTTCTTATTTCTTAATTGAACTAAGTTATTCATAATAGTCTTACTTAATTTTAATTAATATCTTAGGATAGAAAGCTTAAATACATCTGTTAGTGATAATATAAGAGAATATTGTTATTAATATCTTGACTAAAACAATGTTAAGTCAAAATTAAGCAAAGTAAAACAAGTATAATATCTCGACTAAGGAATCAACTGGTGGGGATTGTTAGTCCCCTTTCTATCATCCAGTTTTGTATAAATACTGGTCAGGACTCCTTAATTATATGGTATGATGCGATAATCACACTATCGAGAATAATAAGATAATGAGTAATTTTGTAGTAATAATAGAAAGATAGGATGTGGATTGTTATCTCCAGCCAATGAGATGGATTGAATGTTCCCACACTAATATGCGACTTTCCCTGTTGATCTGAGATCATCCGAGTACTTCCTGTAAACACCCAAAAGGATGTCAGGTGATACGAACATATGCCTGTTATGTGATATCTATGACAAAGCATATTAGTGACCATATGATTAAGTAATCTGCTTACTAATCCTAATCATGTGACATCTAACTGTTAGGTTCAAAGCTGAGCGCAGCGAAGCGAGGTAATGAGAGGATCTAAGAAGACGAGAGGTGGGGATTTGACTCCCCTCTCCTATAGACCTCTTTCGTATAAATACTTGTCAGGTCTCCTTAGTTAGTAATTGTATGACGCGAGGATCACGCCATTGTTGCAAATAGAATGATCAGTAATCTTGTAGTGACAATAAAAACATACCATGTGTTTATTTGTTATCGACCAATGATATGCATTGTATCTTCCCACACTAATATCCGAAGTTCGCCGAGTTACCCGAAGATAACCGATTACTACCCGTGAGTACCCGAAAGAGTATCACGTGTTACGAATATGTGCCTGTTACGTCGAAGTTGAGCGTAGCGAAACGAGTATTACACCTCGACTAAGGAATTAACTGGTGGGGATTGTTAGTCCCCCTTCCATCGTCCAGTTTTGTATAAATACTCGTCAGGACTTCTTAGTTGTATGGTATGATGCGATGATCACACCATCGAAAATGATAACATGATCAGTAATTTTGTAGTAATAATAGAAAGATAGGATGTGGATTGTTATCTCCAGCCAATGAGATGGATTGAATGTTCCCACACTAATATGCGACTTTCCTCGTTGATCCGAGATCACGCGAGTACTTCCCGTAAACACTCGAAAGGATGTCAGGTGATACGAATATGTGCCTGTTACGTAATATCTATGACAAAGCATATTAGTGACCATATGATTAAGTAATTTGCTTACTAATGCTAATCACGTGACACCTAACTGTTAGGTGTTAGGTGTTAGGTCGAAGTTGAGCGTAGCGAAACGAGTATACACCTCGACTAAGGAATCAACTGGTGGGGATTGTTAGTCCCCCTTCCATCGTCCAGTTTCGTATAAATACTCGTCAGGACTCCTTAGTTGTATCGTATGATGCGATGATCACACCATCGAGAATGATAACATGATCAGTAATTTTGTAGTAACAATAGAAACATACCATGTGGATTGTTATCTCCAGCCAATGGGATGTATTGAATCTTCCCACACTAATATCCGACTTTCCCCGTTGATCCGAGATCACCCGAGTACTTCCCGTAAACACCCGAAAGGATGTCACGTGATACGAACATGTGCCTGTTACGTAATATCTATGACAAAGCATATTAGTCACCATATGATTAAGTAATTTTGCTTACTAATCCTAATCACGTGACACCTAACTGTTAGGGGTTAGGTCTAAAATACATTATATATTATTAGTACATGATTAGTTAACACAAAACGAATTATTCCTTACGTTAGGTGTTAGGTGTTAGGTGCTTATGTAATAAATAAAGGGTTATATTAGATTACAATTTAACTATTTAACTATTTTCATAGCTATGTACTTACTTAGGGTTACGGAGTTAGGTGTTAGTGTCTAAGTCTCTGAAAACCACGGTTAATACCGTCTGTTAAGACACAGGTAAGAAAGTACCTACAAAATATATTATCGCTTGAAATGAACTGATGTTCCCATCACTAGTTTACTCTGGCATTTTCTGGTCCCCACATATGGTTCATCCCACGGAGCATAGTCGCCACCGCACATTCAAGTGTTATATTTGCTGAGAAAAACAACAAGCCCACTAATAAATTACTCACAATCTACTAGGCAGTACACGAATCCTTCTATGAAGACGAATACCTAAAAGATAAACAGAAAACATATCAAGGGTTATTTGTCTTTAACCCCCAAGAGCACGCCGATTTCCGACTCACAACTTAATGTCAAACCGACTCGAGCCAGGGAAGAGAACCCTGTTTGTGTTTGTACAGTAGTGTAATACTGTTCGCTGTTTTCTTCTACCAATGAGCTTGCCGCCACCCACGAGAAACGGGGTCAGGTGATACACGAAGATGAAGTATTCTATTAGCTGAATAATTCATTAAGTCACTATCTATATCCATCTGCTCCTCGACAGGAGGGGTAGGATTAAATAATGGATTATAATACTCTTCTTCCAAGATTTGTGTATCCATCGATTCTAAAACTGTCTTTTTCCAAAGACTCGCAAGATCCAATAAATTACGAGTGCGTTTGCGGCTTGTAATTAATTTTCTGTTAAGGATATCGAGTTTGCGAATATCCGGAATATAATATTCTTCTCCTCGCATTGATACATACAGGTAATCTGTAGGCATCGCTACGATTTGATGTTTATCATCTTCCGGGGGTGCAGGGAATTCTGAAGAGAATTCTTTCTTGTCAGCTTTGCTGAGCCAAGTCTTCCAATATCCGAAAATAGTTTTAGAAAGTTCATTTGCATTAAAATAATTCCATGCTAAGTTGAATTCTGTTTTGAGAACTAGAACGTCCACGTGCTCACTAGACTTGTGAATATGAAGTCTATTATTCCATCGTTCGCGGATATTATTTCTCATCCAAGAATTAACTAGATTGGCAGGATACCCTCTGCGTATATACAAGGCTACTAAACCTCGTATTGCATCTTTGTACACTGATAAGGTGGTACTGAGAGTAGCGAGCCGAGACATTTCTCCAATAAATGTTCCCCTTTTGACATCTAGAGGATGGTGCGAGATCCATGGAACTCTTTCTTGATAGTTGCCAGCTTTTCGGTAAGGCATGTGTTGCAATTTATAATTTTCATCTTTATATAACGCCATGTCTAGAAATGGTTGCCATGAGGCACTGACATTCCATTCGATAACACATTCATCAAATTTGACAATGTTCTCGACTTTTTGAAGTGCTTCTTGTTCACTTTCAGCATAAACAATAGCGAGACAGTCATCGATGTATCTGCCATAAAAAGCTATGGCTGGATTTTCAAGAACTTTATTTTTTGTCTCAAAATATGCCCCATAGAGATTAGCAAGATCCGGTGAATCTGCTACCCCCATTGCGAGGCCATTATTTTGCAAATAAAATTTATTTTGAAATTGTGTTACAAGCTCAGTATTACCAACATAAAGACATCGTTTAAAGAGGTCTTGAATTTTTCTATTAATAGGAGAATCATAATCTGGTCCATAGTCGTCATACACATGATAGTACCACATGTTATATACAATATCTAAACACTTATTAAGTGGAATATTGGGATAGAACGCAACTACATCTCCTGTGACAATATACCAGTGCCTGCCTGGTGTAAGACTGAGTTTAGACAACTTAATCACCAAGTCTTTGGAACCATGAATAATGGTTGGCGACCCTTCAATCAGGGGTTTAAGTTGTTTAGAAACGTATTTAGCAGCAGGATTCATTATTGCAGAATGACATGGAATAATTGGCCTCATTTTTACAGGCTGTTTATGGATTTTAGGGATACCATAAAAAGTGGGTACGACATGCTTCCCGCCTACCTCCGTAACTTTACTACCGAGAAAATTAGGTAAGTCTTTTGGGATTGCACTCCACTTTAGTTCATGAATTTCTTGCGCTAAGGCTGATATATATTTCATATCAGAACATTTCTTGTCTAGAATTCTTTGTTTATCTATACTTGATAAAGGCGTATAGTCCTTTTTATTATTAAGAATATCTAGACATTTCGTTATAATCCAGGTCCTCTCAGACACCGCTAAGCCCAAGTTTTTATCTGTCATTGTAACAATATAATTATTGCTTATTAAAAACTCTTTGATTTGTTTAGCCGAAGGGGTGAGAGGTTTATAGTAATTCTTCGGCGTCTCATCAGGTATTTTGGATATTGTATTGTTCACAAAAATCCGGCCCTTGATGAGTCCAAGTTTAAGATATTGCGGTAAATATGGAGGGGAATTTTCAGAGGGGGCCCTCAAATCATAATCAGGATCATAATTACTGTTGTCATTTTTACCAAACGAATGGAATATTCTCCATCTAAGTCTTCTCTGAAAATCATGCCAAGACTCAAGAATAAGTTTCTTATTTAAGGGTTGGTGGTACATATATCTTAACCCTACGCTTAGTTGAAATGCTATTTTATCAGGCAAATTCACACCAGAAGATGAATGAACATAATTTTTAAATTGGGCAGCATTAATAATATCTACAGGTGTATTTAAAATAACTAATTCTATTGCCTGGGTGAATGGAACGGTTAGTAACCAGTCTGGAAGGGTTTGGGGTTCTCCATACCTGTATCCAGTTAATTGGAGGACTTTTTCTTGCCCTTGCCCTTGTTATGAAACCAAGTGTATTTTCGCTTTTTGCTTACTATGCAGCTTACATAATCATATCATATGACTAAGCACTTACATAATCATCTTACATAAGTCGATTATCTAATCATCTTATCTAATCATCTTATGTAAGCATGATTACCTAATCATCTTATCTAATATGCTTATATAAGTGGCTTACTTAACCACTTACTAATCATATGACTCAGCTGTCTTGCTAAGCATCCTCTCTTATCTTATCACTCTCTTATCTTTACTACTTACTTACTTGTTCTAGAATATTCTGAGACCTTCCAGAACATTCTAGAATGTTCTTTCATGTTCTACCACCTTCTATTATTCTTTCTAGTCACCTTTCCTTATTAGGACTAGTCTCCTCTGTAGTTAGCCTATTTTAGTGTTTCAGCTAGCATAGCCTAGCTCAGCCTGTAGTTAGCCTATTTACTTTGTTTCATCTAGCACAGCTTAGTTTAGCCTAATAGTTTAACCATAGTCCCTGCCGAGTTTTTCCATTATTCCCACACTATTCCCACATGTATAAATACCCCCCTCCTGTCAGTAGCTAGCCCCCCAGTCTTGATCTTGTCTTTCCTCCTAGACTAGTACCTTCTAATACATCCTCTTGTCTCTCCTCTCCTCTGTCTCTGTCTATATCAGTGTATGCTGGTTGTGCCTTGTCTTCAGACCCTGCTGACTAAGCATTCTGCTGACTAATCCTGGTACTAGAACTAGTCATTGCTGACATTAGATCAAGACTCCCTCTATCACTACTTTCCTAGTGTTACTCTCTTATCATCACTCTTGTGGTGTTTCCACCAATCATCTTTCCCCACCCTTGTTCACTTTCTATTAGACATACCCTTTAAAGCCTTCTACCACTTTCTCACCACTATTCCTATAAGAGTAAAGCCAGTCCCTTTTCCTTTTCTAGTAGTGTGTGGGACATTACTCTTTTAATTGTTTGTCCAGAGTTATTTCTCACTTGAGGATAGCTTCTGCACTAAGTTACTTAGATACATAACACACTATCCCTTGGCTAGATTCTCATTTTAAGGGCCTTGTGCCTGGAGACTAGTTTAAATCCTGTTACTTAGTGGATAATAGTCAAAACCACTAGTGCAGGGTGACAGCAAGTAGAGTGTGTTCCCCTAAGCAGTAGTAAAACCCCACAAGTAGTTTTGTAGAGTGTAATAGAGTAAGGTTGACTTGCCTTCTCTTAGAATTAGACACTAGATAGCCTAGAGTAGATATTCACTTATTCCCTTTATTTTTTACCTTTTACTTTTTCTAGACTAGTAGTACCTTCACTCAGTTCACTTCCTAGTCATCTCATCTATGTCAGATATTTCCAGTACCTCTGAGCAGATGGATGCACTTGTTGACCAGTTATCAAGTGTGCATCTAAATGACTCATTGAAGGGAAAAAGAAGACTGCATAGACAGATCCATGTAGCTAAACCCAACCCATTCTCAGGACAAAGAAAGGACTTCAAACCTTTTCTGAAATCCTTGAGATTATACCTATTAGCAGCCAAAGATGAACTCACTACTGATGAGGAGAAAATTATTTTTACTCTCTCATTCATGACAAATGGCTTAGCTGGGTTATGGGCAGATAACTACTTGGAGGAGTGTGACATGATTATCACTGATGAGTGGGAAACTTTTCTAGCCAGGCTTAAAGAGACTTTTGATGATCCTCATGAGAAAGCTGATGCTCAAGAAAAGCTAAACAATATCACTCAAGGAAAGAAAACTGCAGAGGAGTTCTTCCAAGAGTTTGATTTGCTAATCAGAGCAGCTAAATACCATGAGAACCATGATGAATATCTTATCTCTATTCTTAGAGAGAAGGTTAACCCAAAAGTAGTCATGAAGATCACAGAGATGGTGGATGAGCCTGAAGATTACCATACTTGGAAAAGGATGGCAATTAAAATAGATAGAAAACTTCATTTGGCCAGTAGCATAATAGCTAAACCAACTTCTTCCACAAAATCTCCAGTCCTCCCCAAACAGTATAACCAAGTATCAGAAAGAAGAGATAATACTGGTGTTACTTTTGGTGGTAAAGGACAGCCCATGGATATCTCTATTGACAGGGCCAGGAGAAATGGTTTATGCTATTTATGTGGACTTAAAGGCCACTTAGCCAGAGAATGTCCTCAGAGGAAAACACAGATTAGATCTATCTTAATGTGTATGGAACCTGAAGAGAGACAAGCCTGGGCTGATGAAGTTGATATCCTAAAAGAATCAGAGTTAGCTAGAGTAGAACAGGATTTTATGGAAGCCTGACTTTGAATGTGGCAGAGGAAGGCATTAGTAATGATTCAAATACTAGTATCAATAAAGTTATCTTTAATACCAGTAATGAATCAAAACCCACAGAGTTCTGTAAAAAAGTACCCTCTTTTAAGGAAACTAAAGATAGACTGTTGCAGATAGTACACCCTAAAAGAACTAAAGAAATCACCAGAAGCTTAGTCAGACAAATAAATCAACTAACAGGTGATGAGTTAACTTCTGCAATAGCCTCTCTGAAAGAACCTAAAAGATTTATTAGAGGTGGAAAAGGGAGACAACTTACTGTCCCTATACTCTTAGCTACTCTTGATAATAACCTGCAAATACAATCTCAAGGATTGATTGATAGTGGATGCACAGATTCATGCATTAATGAGAGTTTAGTCAAGAAATATCAGCTTGTTACAAAGAAAACACCTCTAGCTATTCCTGTATACAATGCTGATGGCACTCTCAATAAAGCTGGTGCAATAAAAGAATATATTTCTATGCGCCTGTCTATCCATAATCATGTAGAAAGAATAGACTTGGCTGTTACAAACCTGGGAGACACAGATATCTTCATTGGTCATGAGTGGTTAAAGAAACATAATCCAAGCATTGATTGGGTTAGAGCCACTATAAACTTTGATAGATGCCCAGAAGAATGTAACATGCCAAATTCTTCTCAATCCACTCCAGAGAACATAAATTCTCCACTTAAGACTTGCCAACTAGTCAAAGAAAATATAATAGTACCTGACTTTAGTCAAGAGTATCCTACTGTATTTAGTGAGCAAGAATTCAACAAACTGCCAGAAAGAAGGTCTTGGGATCATGCTATTGAGACCAAACCTGACTTTGTTCCAAAAGACTGTAAAATTTACCCACTAACAGTCAAAGAACAAGAAGCTCTGGATCAGTTTCTTGATGAAAATCTTAAAAGTGGCAGAATTAGACCTTCTAAATCCCCTCAAGCATCACCATTTTTCTTTATTAAGAAAAAGGATGGTACATTAAGACCAATCCAGGATTATAGAAAATTAAATGAGGGCACTATTAAAAATAGATACCCTATTCCTCTAATCCAAGAGTTGCTTGATAAAACTAAAATGTCTAATTATTTCACAAAATTAGATGTTAGGTGGGGATATAACAATATTAGAATTAAAGAAGGTGATGAGTGGAAAGCAGCCTTTAAAACTAATAGAGGACTGTTTGAACCCACTGTTATGTTCTTTGGATTAACCAATTCTCCTGCTACTTTTCAAGCTTTTATGAACACTATACTAAAAGACTTGATACAGGAGGGTTCAGTAATAGTCTACTTAGATGACATCTTAATATTTACTAGATGCTTATCTGAACATATTAGACTTGTCAGACAAGTACTACAAGTGTTAAAAGACAATCACTTATGTCTGAGATACTCTAAATGTTCTTTTGCTGAACCTAAAATTGGTTATTTGGGATATGTAGTAGGTGGTGGTAAAATTGAAATGGAAACCCAAAAGATAAAAGCTATACAAGAATGGCCAGAACCTAAGAATATTAAACAGCTAGAATCATTTTTGGGATTCTGTGGATTTTATAGACGCTTTGTCAAGGGTTACAGTCATATTACCACACCACTTAATAGGTTAAAAGGAAAATCAGGATGGAAATGGGGAAAAGAAGAAGCAGAAGCAGTGATACAGCTAAAACAAGCTATCACTTCTGCTCCAGTCTTAGCAGTGCCTACAGACAATGATCCATTCAGAATTGAAACAGATGCTTCTAACTTTGCAATTGGGGCAGTTTTGTCTCAAAAACAA